GGGACAGCTGAGGTAGCAGGAAGAAAGAATGGTGCTGGCAGAATGTCAGAAGAATTCAATGGGGTGATCCATTTTGAGATTCCAGAAATGAGTTATGAAGCAAGAGGTTTTCCTTGTGGGAAGGGCCACTAAGATGATAAAAGGGACAGAACTGGGAAAAGGTCTGACCTTCCCAAAAAAAGGTTCTACTTCAGGGCCCTCTGGTGGCGCAGTGGATTGGAAGTGCAGCACTGTGAAGCTGGCCTTGGCTGCTTCAGTGCAAGTTTGATCCCCCGCCCCGGAGATGATCCACATGGCGCAGCAGACCTCTCCTGTCTGCCTGCTGCTCCCCTCAGCAGTGTACTTCGTAGATCTGCCTGTTCTGCTCTCCACTCTGTTTCTGGTGAATTCTCTCAAAGCCCCAGCACCTCTGACCTGTACACCACTTCTACATGCATAAATAAGTAAATAAATAAAATCTTTAAGGAAAAAAAATCCTTAAAAAAAAAAGGTTCTGCTCCAGTTGTCCAACACTGATGGCCAGGCAAAGGCGGACTCTGGGCACCTTGTTTGTGGCCAGGCTCTGGCGCGAGGGCTCGACCCTCAGCCCATGGAGTCTGTGCCCACTCTGGGCAGTTGTGTCTGACTGAATTCAATGGCAGGCCACCCAGCTGCTGTGGAGAATTGGAAAGTTGCATGTTAGAAAAACGACCCTGTAGTCGGCGGCGGTTGGGACAGTTGAGTGAAAGACCCCTGCTTCTGCAGCTCTCGCCATCCGCCCGCTGGTTACTGATATACCAAAAGGCCGAGCAAACCTTCAACAAAGCTTGTCTAACCTGATGGCACACTTAGAATACTAGGACTCTGGGGTCGCCCTGTGGCATAAGGGGTGAGTCTCAGCACCGTGAAGCTGTCTGCAGCCCCTGCAGCGTGAGTCCATCCCCGGCCAGGGAGGGACCCCAGGGAGCAGCAGACCCCTCTGTCTCCCCGTCTGCTCCCCCAGCAGTGGTCTTCATCCGCCTGCTCTGCTCCCCACTCTGCCTCTGGGGATTCCTCTCAGATCTTGCACCTCTGGCCTGCACCCCAGCTCTTGTATGTATAAATAAATAAAATAAATCTGAATTAAAAAAAAGGTTCTACTTCTTAGGAACTGTTGTGATATAAAAGATCTGGTGGTCCCCCCACGAGGAAGCCAACAGGAAAGCTGAAGCCTAGAGTAGAGCCACTGTGCTGCCCACACAGCCCTGGCTATCTCGTCAAAAGTTGGGGCAGAGGGCTGCTCCCTTTAGGGGGTGACGTGATGAGGTGGCTATGCAGCACATTTCTGTTCATTCTAGGGTACTCTCACCAGGACCCACAGGACTGGTACAAAAGCAAAACAGATGCTTGCTTTTCCAACCACCCCTATGGAGTAGAACTGTCCAACATGGGTTGCAGTCCTGACTCTGTGGGATGTGCCCAGGAGCCCTCTCATCAATCAAGGACTTCAGTTGTCTGTAAAACAGAGACAGTTCCATAATAAATAAATCTTAAAAAAAAAATTCCCCATCACTATGTCAGAATGGTGAGGGACTGGTATTTAAAAAAAAAAAAAAGAACAGAGACAGTTCCAGAAAGTCTGGTAGCAGCCATTGTGCCCTAGTTACCTCTCAGTCAAGGTGAAGTTCCCATCCTTTAAGGCAGGTACTTTCTTCAGAGGGTTCACCTGGGCAAAGGCATCGCTGAGGTGCTGGCCTGCAGAAAGTTCATCATGGTGGGCAACAGGAAGAAGACATTCCTGCCTGGCCTGTACTTACTCTCTGCAGGGCTCAGCCCCCAGTTTCATTGCTCTTCTCTAGCTTCCAGGTATTCCCCTGAACGGCAGAGGTGGGTGAGGGCCACTGTGAGAGGAAAAGTTGCTCTGCCCATTGGTACAAAATAGACCTGGTGAGTCCCTCCCCCCCTCAACTCTCTGCAACAGGACTCAAAGATGCTCCATCCAGGAAGAGGCATGTCCTTGCTTGAGGCTCCTCATGCATCCCACCACTGCCGCTGCACCATCACTGTATCACAAGCTCACACTGGGGGTGCCCCAAGCTGCAGGGGCAGAGTAACTGGTCATCTATTGGGAGCTCTGCCCCTTTCCCTGGGACTCCAACTTTGGGTCACCAAATACAGGAAAGTGGACTTCTGTAGGTATCTATTCACTTGCAACCAATTTCTACTGGCCCCTCTGTGTCCCCCGTCATCCTGTCTTGGACACTGGGACCGAGCTATCCTTGCCTTCAGGTTGTGCTGGCGCTAGAAACACCTGCTATCTTATCCCACCCACAGGTCTTGAAAGGTATCCCCAAAGATCCTAGCCTTTGAACTCACATGAGTGGTTTCTGCTTCTGCCGATGCAATCAGAGAGGCTTCTGAAGCCTACTTAAGTCTCATCACTACCTTGCTCAACAGCCTTCAGAAACTCCTCATTACCCCAGGTTCTGGTGGAAGTACACTATCCCCTTAATCCACTAACATTCTAGTCTCTTCCTTCAGACAGTCCTTCACCAGGAATACTTGTGACTCCTGTCTTGGTTAAACACACCTCCCACTGAACCCTTTGATTTAACAGCCCAGCTGGGACACCTCCTTGTTGACATGGCCTCTCCCCTGCCCCCACACTCTGCAGAGGTGACCCCCGGAGAAGAACAACTGGACAGGCCCCCGAGGAGGCTGTGAGCAGATAATGTTTTTGGCAGAGAGACAACGGTGCAAAGACATAATGTTATAGTGCTGTGCAGAAGGCTCAGCCTAGTAGATTTGCCCTACTTGCCGACACAGCAATACCTGGGTTCCCCTTTTCTGTTATTCCACAGCTGCCAAGGCTTGATATGCCAGCTGTGTCCTTGGGCCTTGGGGGTGTCCAGAAAAACAAACCCTTGTGTCCAGGGTGCAGGACTCACAAGCACCCATACTCCCACTCCTGCCCCCAGCCATCGTAACCCATGAGGTACCCGCCTCTGCAGGGAAAGGGTGGAGGCTAGGTAAGTAAAGACAAGGTTAGAGAGGAAGGAGGAAAGCGGGACAGAGGAGAACCCCCACGCAAAATCAGCCAGTGCAGAGAGCTGGGTGCAAAGTCAGAAGCAGCGCCTGCTTTGCAGAACTTCAGCAGTTGGGAACCACAAAGGAGGAACTCCACCTCGTCCTAGTCTCTACAACGGTACCTGTATCGCCTCCCCTCCCTGAAATGCTCTCCACCCCTCCCCACCCCTCCATGCCTGGTGCGGGGGAGGGGGGGGCGCACCGTTTTGCGATCGCCAGGTCCCTCCTCCTTTCTTCACGTATCCTCTCCCTCCCCTTTACGGGACCTCAACGGACCTCTCCGCTTACTCTGGGATCCAGCAGAGTTGGGAGCGGGTCCCGGATTCTCGGATTACCCTGATGAGTGAGTAATCGATCCCATCTTCTGGTGATGGCCTTGGAAAGGGGGTGGCGTGGGGAGAGAGGTCTACACGAGGTTCGGTGCCCGGGTTCCTGCCCTCGCTCACACTTTCTCACACCCTGCGCTGGCCTACCTTTAAGCAGCTCCACTGTGCGCAGCTCGAAGGGGATGCCGTTCTTCTTGGCGAAGATGTAGACGGCGCGGCAGGGCTGGGACAGCAGGTCCAGGTAGAGCTCCAGGCCCATGGCGGGGGCGGCAGGGACACGCTGGGGACCCAAAGGACAGAGCAAACGTGGGCGCTTATTCGGGGGACAAGACCAGGCGGCCACGCCCCCGCCGCTCCGGAGCGGCGGCTCAGGCGTCCGGCACTTTAGCCAATCGTGACAGCTCCTGGGCGTGTCTGAGGGGCTAGAGGAGGAAGGGGCCTCAGGGCCCAACCCGCGGAGTGTGACGCGGGCGTAGTCGCCGCCGCAGCCCTCCACCACCCCACCCCAGGATCACGCGGAGGGCCTCGGGTTGCAGACGTTTTGTGGCCGACTCTTTTCACTTGGCCTGTCTTTACGCTCCATCCATGTTGTCTGCTGCTGCGGATGTACCACAGCGTTCTACCAGTGAGGAAACTGAGGCTAGGAAGGGTTAGGACTTAAAGTCTGACTCCAGAGCTCCTGCTGCAGAGCTAGCACGCACTCCAGAGACCCAGGCGCCAGCCCGCAAAACCTCAGGGCTCACGTTCATCCTTTTGTGTAACTCACTTCACTCCAATTGGCACCCAGGAGTTTAACAACTTCGGTCTTCTTGCTCCTGCCAGTCCAATGCCTCAGACACCCCAGCTGGGGATGTTTCTTGCATTCTCTGGCCTCCTTTCTTCACCTTTAAGATGATGGAAAGAGAGTCATCTCCCTTCTGGGCGCATATATATAAAGGAAATGAAAAGAGACTTGCAAAGATATCTGCACCTCATGTTGACTGCGGTATTATTCACAATAGCTCAGGTATGGAAACAACCTGACTGCCTCAGCGGAGGGAGGACTGGATACAAAAGCTGCGGTGCTTCATACAAAGGAGGTTGTGTCATTCGTAACACATAGATGCACCTTGATGGTATCACACTAATTGATGTGGAGCACAGAGAAGGACAAATACTGTATAATACCACTTATTGGTGGAATCTAAAAAAGTGAATTCATAGAAGCAGAAAACAGAATGGTAGCTACCAGCGGGTAGGAGTCAGAGAAATAAGGACATGTTGCTTAAGGGTACAAATTTGCAGCTAATAGATAAATAAGTTCTGGTCTGATGCACAACAATAAAGTATTATAACTTCAAACTTGCTAATCTTAACTGTTCTCACCACAAAAAAGAAATGATAATTACATGATGTTACAGAGATGTTAGCAAATTCTACAGTGGTAATCATACTGCAATATTTAAGTGGATCAAACCAACACATACACCTTAAATTTGCAAAATGATGTATATTAAAGATATATCAGTTAAAAAAAAATAATGGGAAGACTAGAACCCTCCAGGGCTCTTGAAAGTTCTCATACTGGACTCATCCGGTAAGTCTTAAGCCTTAGCTTGTTGTTCCTTGCTATTCAGGCACCTGCCAACGCCTGTCACCTGGCTAGTCAAATGGTATCAGTGTCATATATCATTCTAAAAATTAAGCCCATAAAAAAATATCAGTAGGAAAAGAGTGTTTTCTGCACTGTAAGGAGCACTTCCACAAAGAAGTGAAGGTTGATTTAGTAATGATTTTTAACTAAAAAATAACTTTAAAGGGGCCCTCCCTGGTGGTACAGTGGGTTAAAGAACAGCACTAAGAAGCTAAAACCACTTCAGCATGAGTTCAATCCCCATCCCAGAGGTGATCCATATGGCCCAGCAGACCTCTCCTGACCAGCCTGCTGTTCCCCTCAGCAGTGTACTTCATCCATCTGCCTGTTCTGCTCCCCACTCTTGGGTGAAGCCTCTCACCGCTCCCTCACCTCTAGCCTATACCTCTAGCCTGTATGCATAAATAAATACATCTTTAAAAAAAATAACTAAGGAAAGATGAAGTTTTATTTATTTATTTTAAAATTAAATTGATTTACTTATTTTATTACATCATTGTTCACTTTGGGACAATATCTGATTTCTCCCTGTAGGTATTGTTCCCATAGATCTCCCACCACCAGAGCACCTGTGATCTATCATCATCATCCCTTGTGCTCTTTCCTCCCATTTTGACTCCTCTCCTTCTCTTCCCCTGCTGTATGCCTCAGATCTTTGGTCAGCTGGCAATTTTTGACTTTTTCCTGACTGTTGGGTTTCCCTATATTCCACCTATAAGTGAAACCAACCGATATTTATCTGACTTATTTCACTTAGCATAATCCCTTCCAGTTCTACCCATGTCACCACAAATGGCATGAGCTTTTTTTATTATTATTATTGCTGAGTAGTATTCCATTGTGTATATACTACATCTTCATGATCTATTCAAAAGATGAAGTTTTAGGGGTTCTAGACATTCAGAGGAGGCAGAATCCCTACACCCACCTCCCTCTGACTCATTCAGCACCCAAGAGGAGGTGGGCGTGATCTTGCTCTAAGAACTGGTCTTGGACTTAAAAGTTCAAAAATAAATTTTGTTCATATTCCAGGACTGATCCTTGCCTTTGGGCCTGACTTCACATAACCCAATTCAGACAAGACTGATGGATTTGTTCATTTATAAGGGCAAAAAAAGACAAAATGCTCCCCAAAATAACTCTGCAAAGTGTAGTTTCCCAGAATGTTGCGGGAGAGGGGATGTGAGAAGGGAGGAGGGCAGGCAGCAGGATGCGAAAAAGGGAGCCAGTTGACCTGTAAGGCAAGTGATATGACAGAAATATTATCTGGAGACAACTGTCAGCTCCTTGCTACATGGACCGCTTTCATCAAGCCAGCAAGAGCCAGTCAGCTAGCAAGAGGGAATCTTATGTAACAGTAGTATCAAAAGAGTAGCAAACAGAAGTGACAACCCATCACCTTTGCCATTCTCTTACTGCTTGAAATTCTTCTATTGGCTGTATTCCAAGGGAGGGAGTTACATAAAGATGTGACTATTGCAAAGGGACCCCCATTGGGGGTCACTGCCACTCCTTCCAACGGCAGGAGAGCTTCATAGGCCTACAACCAATATAGCAGGTCCTAACTGGCCATATTGAAACATTTCTGAACAAGGGACTCATTTTATTTGTAGCCAGTCCTGTTCATGGGATCCAGAGAGCTCTTAAGATTGCAAAGCTCACTGCCTGCCCTGAGCAGTAGTGAGCCACCCAGCGTAAGCTGCTCTCCACTCCCTCTCCTACAGAATTTCATGCTCTTGATAGTTAAACTCCTACCTACTTTGGCAAGAAATACGGGTGTACTCAAATTTCCTTAAGAAAAAACATTTATGTCCCTTTGGAGAGATTATGTGATCTAGTTTCTTGTTATTCACATTGTGGTTTTTAAAGAGACAGCAGCAGCCTTGCCTGTGAACTTGTTAAAAATGTAGAAAGCGGCTCTCCCTGGTGGCGCAGCGGGTTAAAGCACAGCACTGAGAATCTAAAGCCGCTTCCGCATGAATTCGATTCCCGCCTGCCCTGGAGGTGACCACATGGTGTGGCAGACCTCTCCTGACCAGCCCGCTGCTCCCCTCAGCAGTGTACTTTGTTAATCTGCCTGTTCTGTTCCCCACTCTGTCTCTGGTGAAGCCTCTCACCACCCCTGAGCCTCTAGCCTGTACCCCAGTTCTGTATGCATAAATAAATAAATCTTTAAAAAAAAATGTAGAAAGCTAGAAATGTAGAAATCTCAGGCACCTACTCCAATTTCAAACCCCAGATCTGCTGCATCAGAATCTGCATTTTCACAGCATCTCCAGGTGATTGAAAGTTGGAGGAACGCTGGCTGAGCTCCTCTGTTCCTAGCAGAAATGGCAAAGCATTTCCATGTCTTTCTCTTCTCTCTCAATGTCTCCTCTCTCTGTGTGTCTGCCCCTGAGGTGCCTATGACATCTTCTCCATTGGGTCTCTAGAGCCACAGTTGTGATTTCTCTCAGTGTTTTTAGATTCTGGAAGATTCTGATTGGCTATCCCTGTGTCAGTCTTCAGAGGAAATGCTCTTGAAACAAGTGGCCAATCAGCTTGGCAAAGTGATGATACATAATGTAAAACATGGCTATTTCCTAAGTCTTAGCTGTGGACCAAGCCTGTTCTGGACATTTCATAAAACTGGAATCACACAATTTATAACCTTTCATGACTGGCTTCTTTGATTTAGTGTGATGTTTACAAGAGTTTTCCAAGTTGTAAGCACATAACAGTACTTCATTTCTTTATGACTAAATAATATTTCATTATGTAGGTATACTACCCTTAATCCATTCATCAGTTGACAGAGTTTTTGACTTTTTGGCTGTTATAAATGTTTCTGTGATGACCATGTATAAGTTTTTGTTTGGACATGTATTCTACTCTCTTTTGAGATATAACAAGGAGTCCAATGACTAGGTAATGATAGCTGCATTTCACTTTTTGAGGAACTGCTGTTTTTCAAAGTGACTGAACCATTTTGCATTCCCAACCATAATTTCTCCTATCCTTGCCAAGATTTATTTTCTGTCTTTCTTATAATAGTCATCTTAGTTTGTGCGACGTGGTATATTGCTGTGGTGTGGTTACAGTAGCTTTGTACTGTTTGGAAATTGGAAATATGGGTCCTATAGCTTTTTCTTCTATAAAATTCTTTTGGCCATTCTGTGTTCCTTGAATTTCCAAGTGAAGTTTAATCACTTAGTGATTTCTGCAAAGAAGCTAGCTAGAATTTTGATGAGAATTGTGTTGAATTTGTAGATAAATTTGAAGATTTTTTTTATTTTTGCATAGATGATCTGGGTGAAGATCAAGCAAAGTAAAAAGTGTCAAAGTAACATTAACAGGGCAATGTCAGTGTCTTGCAGACACACACAAGAACTGCACTCATATGTGTACGTATAAAATGTATTCATATATATGTGTATAGGAGATACATATATAGCTGTGTGTCCCTTAAGGGTAGAGTTTTGAGAAATGTATAATCAGATGATTTCACTGTTGTATAATCTCATAGAGTATAATTCCACAAACCTACATGATAATTACACAAATCTACAAGATCAAGGCTATGTGGCATAGCCACATGCATAAATTATACAATGGAATATAATTCAATCTTAATAAAGACTGGCAATCTTGTCATTTGCAACAACATGAATGAACTGCAGGTTACTGTGCTAAGTAAAATAAGACAAACTCAGATAGACAAATGCTACATGATCTCACTATATTGGAATCTAGACATGTGAATCCTTAGAAGCAGCAAGTAGAATGATAACTACCAGGGTTTTAGATCTGCAGAGTGAGTAAGTTATGGAGATCTGATGTGCAGCTTGTGAATGCTATTAGCCAATTGGCAGTGTATACTCGCAATTTCATAACATTAAATATGAGTGTTCTCAACAACAAAAAATGATATGTGAGGTGATGGTTACCTAAATTGTGGTAAACATTCACTATACATATATACACACATATATGTATATTCAGATATACACACATACATAACAGGCACCTTAAAAACATGCAATTTTTGCTAATTTTTATTCAATAAAGATGGAAAAATAAACAAACCTGGTAGTAGGGGGAAATCATAGTTAGCAGTTTGAATTTCCCATATAGATCCGTGAAAGAGGGTTCTTGGGCTAGTCTGTGTCTCTGGGACGAGTATCTTTTTTTTTTTTTAAGTGTTATTTTACTTATTTATGCACACAAGAATTGGGGTACAGGTCAGAGACATGGGGGTGAGAGGATGCACTAGAGACAGAGTGGGGAGTAGAACAGGCAGTTTGAAATACACTGCTGAGGGGAGCAAGTCAGGAGAGATCTGTTGTGTCATGTGGGCCACCACCCTGGCCAGGAACTGAACTCATGCCACAGTGGCTGGCAATAGCTTGATAGCACTGAGACATACCCCTTGTGCCACCAGGGAGACCTGAACATCCTTTTTTGTTCCTCATCTTAGGGAAGATTTAGTTTTTCATAGGTGCAATTTATAAAGTTGAAGAAGTTCCCTTTTATTTTTTGTTGAGTGATTTTTGTGAAAGTGTTGCATTTTATCAAATGCTTTTTCTGCACCTATTAAGATAATCATGTCATTTCTTTCTTTTATTTTCTTAATGTACTGTGCTATGTAGGTTGATATTCATATGCTCAACCACCTTTTGCAGTCCTGGGATAAATCCCTTTTGGTTATGATGTCTAATTCTTTTAATACATTGCATATTAAATTTCCTAATACTTTGTTGAGAATTTTTATACCTATATTCCAAGGTATAGCGCTGTGTAATTTTATTTTCTTTGATGTCTTTTCTGGCTTTAGTATGAGAGCAATGTTGGCTCCATTGAAAGAGATAAGAAATATTTCCTCTTCTATTTTTTGGAAGAGTTTGTGTGGGTTGGTGTTAATTCTTTAAAAGCTTTGGTAAAGCACACGGGTGACTTGGTGATGGGAAACCCGCGGGGATTACAATTGAGATGGAAAAAAATGTACAAAATGATGTAAAAATAAATATGTATATATTTAAAAAAGCTTTGGTAAAAATCACCCGTGAAACTATCTAATCCCAGACTGTGTTTGTGTGTATGTGTGTGTGTGTGTATGTATACAATAGGCCTATTTAAATATTCTACTTCTTCTGAGTCCCTTTTGGAGATGTTTCTAGGAATTTTCCCATTTCATCTAGGTTATCTAATTTGCTCACATAATTTGTTCATAGCATTTCCTTGTTTTGTACTTGGAAATAGTGATGTACCAAAAAAAAAAAAATTAAGGTTTACGGTTAAATTGACTCTATGCCATAAATAGTGTCCATGTCTACATTCTCTTCAAGAAAATATCTAGTAGACAGGCAGTAATGGCAGCTATATTGAAACCTTTCTATGCTTGTTTAAATCTAAATTTCCTTCCACTGTATTTATTCTCAAAGCAGGGGAAATTAGCTGAAGCAATGGTATCTAATTTTTACCATCAATTTTTCCTACAGTTACCAATGTCATTGCTCCCCAGGTCCTATAGATTATGTGTGCCATCAACAGTGCCCTGTAAATTCTTTTTTTCTCTTCTGATGTTGGGGTGGGAGAGAGGTGTCAAGGTATCTGGTAGAAAGGAAGGGTATTTGGTACTAGGGTTGAGAGCCAAGTATCTTTGTTTCTTTAGTAATCCTTCTTAGATTAAGAACTGAATCTCCCTGGGAATCTTTTTCAGTGGACAATTGAGAAAATTGACTCTGGGGTCAGGGTTAGTTTAGGATTCTTTGATGAGTCCTTTGGAAGTCTAATCACAGCTTAAATCTCCTCTTGGATCTTGGGCTTGGGAGGAAGGTGAAACTCAAAATTCTCAAAATGCTACAAAATAGTCTGGAAAAAAACTTTTTTTTTTTCAATTTAATGTATGCATTTGCAGCTCTAAATTTCCCTCTTAGTATTGCTTCCACTGAGGCTGATAAGGTTTAGTGTGTTGTATTTTCCTTTTCATTCAAGGTACTTTCTATTTTCCCTTGTGATTTTTTTTTTTTTGAGATTTATTTATTTATCTTACAAGAGCTGAGATATAGGCCAGAGATGTGTGGGGGTGGGGGTGGGGTGTGTGTGGCGGCAGTGTGCTTATGAGAGGATTTACCAGAGACAGAGTGGGGAGAATACTGAAATACACTGCTGAGGGGAGCCACGGGTAAGGTCTGCCGTGCCATGTGGGTCAGCTCCCTGGTGGAGATCAAAGTCGTGCTACAGTGGTTAGAGATAGCTTGATAGTTCTGTGTCTTTAAACACTTATGCCACCAGGGAGGGCCCCCCTGTGTTAATTTTTAAATTACTTTGGGAAGTTGCGAGGACCTACAACCACCACCCTCTCTCTCCCTTTCCTATACTCACATCAGAACTTATGTTCACACCTAGCTCAGCAGCCATGGCAGTTGTTTCAGTTCTTTATTAGGCAAATAACTGGAGTTGCTTCAGCATCTTCCCTAAGGAAGGAGACTCAGAGCTAATCAACCAGGACCTACAGGATGGGCTGTTTCTACTTGAACTTTTGCAGCAACTCACAGATCCTGTCTTTGACTGTTGGATCCAATGTTGAACAGTCCCAGTCTACTAAATTCATCAGTCTGTCATGGGTCTCCCAGAAGAGGGAAGAGCCAATGGCCAGCTCCACCCTCATGCGCCATTCAGCCAACTTGGAACTACTGAGGAAGACATTATGGTTGCCTCCTATGGGCTGTGAATAAACAAAGAGGAGGAAGTGATTAGCCTGGAGCCAGCCTCACCTGGGTACCCACCTTTAGCTTCAAGGGCTTTCTCCATCTGCTTTCACAAAGAGTTATTCTGCTGACCCCCAAGACCTAGACAAGAGGTCAGAGCAATATAATAGATATGGGGTGGGGATGGAAGGTCCAGAATTACCCAGGATTCTTTATCACTAGTCTTGCTCAGGGCTCCCAAATACCTCTCTGAGATGGCCGCTGGCCAGGTAGCTCCTACTTTTCCAACCTGAAACCTCCCATGGGTCCTGACTTCTTTAAGGGTAACCCCTATCCTCAAATGAGAGTTGTGCTTTCAAACACGTACACACACACACACACACACACAGACAGAAGCTCCCTCTGTGTTCAAATACAGGGACTAAAGTGGGATACACAACATGCCACCTAAGATACAGCAACAAGAATGTTCAAGAGGTCCAAAAGGGTGGGTAAAATAAGGGGTGGGGGGAGGGGAATATGAAACATAAGATGCTGTGCCATCCAGGACAGAAACAACAGAATGGCCTTTACTGGTGCTGTTCTATAATACCTACTGACCAGGGACCAAAGTGATGTGGTCACTTTGCATACCAGCTAGAGATTATGCTGCAGACACTGTAGACACTGGCCGGGGTCTAAACTGGCTATTCTGCACACAAGCTAGATCAGAACTGACCATCCACCCCCTACATGTGGAAGTCACGTAACTGCTCCATACCCAGATTTGTTTAAATGCACAGCGGATGCCCCTCAGACCCAGAGCCAGGGGCGCTGCGCTGCAGTTATGGAGCTAGGACTCTGGAGAGAGGAATTTCAGCTGAAAGGACACTTAGGAAGCTGCAGGGCTTTTCCTGAACAGTCTAATGGGAAGTGGAGGCATCAGGATCATGGCTGACAGATCAAGACATGCCATGTCTTCTCCCTCTCTCAGGCCTTCCCTCAGGTCCTCTGCATATGGAGGAATGTTAGTAAAATACGAACAATCACCATTTCCTTCCATTTAACATCTTCTGTATTTCCTGTCACTCCCAGATCAAGCCCAGGTATCCAGACATGGCTCTCACAGCTCCCCCTTCATCAGCTTATGTTCAAGCTATGTCCCATCACAGAGGAGTCCCACCTCTGCCCAAACTCTGCCCCCTACTCCACCCCACTCCGCACCTGCATCATCTCCACGAGGGCCACCAGGTCAGCCAGTGAGATGTGATCCCCAGTGATGAACAGCCTGTCCTGCAGGAACTTGTCCTCAAATTGCTGCAAGCTATTTTTTGCCTCTGCTAGCGTCTGCTCTAACTTCTCAGCTGGAACCTCCTCACCTGTGATCATTGGAATCAAAAGCTGGCCAGGATAGAGAGGATGGAAGAAAGTCATATCCCAGTCCCATCTGACCCTCCAGCCTCAAATCCTTTCAGCTAAGGAGGTGTTAGATACTGCCAAGGTTGCTTGGTTGTAGAATTTGCCCGGGACAAATTGTTCAGAAGGATTTTGAGACTTCAGCAGAAAAGAATTCTGTTATTCATTAGTGATGTCCACCACAGACATTGGATAAGGAGTAAAGCTCCATGTGTTGATTACTTGTCATTTTCAAAGCTGGTGGTCTCACAAGTTCCTTCAGTTATTTTCTAGTTAAAAAAATAAAATACTGACTTGATAAATATCAACCTCTCCTGCGGCCCTTCCTTTTGCCATTATGAGGTTCTTCCACACCCAGTGGTTCCCGCTATATCCCCACGGTTCTGTGAGGCAGGTGGGAAGAGGAGCCAAGAAATTGAGGCGCAGGGAAAGAGGGACACTTACTTGAGCTAACCAGCAGACAGCTGCGACTGTAGCCCTCACTCACCTTAATCCAGAGTAACTTGCTCATGGGCAGCTGAATGGCCGTGTGCTGCCAGGCCATGAACTCATCCACACGGGCACGCATGTGCAGGTCGGGTGGGTACCAGTGTGAGGGCGCACTATACTTGCGGCACAGGTAGCAGAGGATGGCCACACTGCGGAGAGGCAGGTGAGGAGCTCTGCTCTTGCCTTCCACAAAGCTGTTGCCCAGCTTTGGGCCAGCCCCATGTGGCCCGGACCCAGAATGTGGCCTGCAGACACAGGCAGTCTCTGGACACTGACATTCTTCTGGGGGAAAATGGACCCTGGGAAAAGTAGTCAGTGCTCCAGCCAATTAGCTGGGAGTTGGACCTATAGGGTGGTGAAAGTGGGCAGTCCCATCAGGAAAGGCAGTCCGGATGTGGGAACAACATGTGAAGACATGTTGTGTTAGAGAACGTGAGTAGATTTGGAGAAAAGAAAGTGAGTGAGGTTGTGAAAGAAGGGCTGGGGTCAGCTGGGGAGTGGTGAGAGGCAGTCAGAATCACTATGGAGGTCCTGTAGGGAGACTCAGAGATGCATGGCGAATACAGACTTAATCCTATGTGATGGGTTAAATAAGCAGAGGGATGAGAAGATCCACCTTGAAGTTAGAAAGATCCCTCTGATGGTGGTTGGAAGATGAACTAGGGGTGCAGAAGCAACTACAGAGAGATAAGGGAGTTGTGATGCTCAGACATCGGGTGTTAGGGTTTGGGAGGGTCAAAGTGAAGAGGGAGAAGACACCTTAGACACCTCAGAGTCTTAGAATCTAGGAGCGAGGCCTATAATGGATCCTTTCCAGCTCCTTCAAAAGCATCATTGCCCTACTGACACCTCAACTTTGTCCCTCCAAACTGGGAGACAGTACTTGTGTTCCAGCAGTGAGTAGTACTTTGTTACGGCAGCTCTAAGAAAGGAATCCAGACTTTCAGAAAATATACTCTCAAATTGTGAGAGTTCCTTTAGGGCAGTCTGATAAACAACACTGGATTTGATTAACCTCTAGATCTAACCACAAATTTACAGGAAATGAAGACACAGAAAATCATGTTACATAAGGCCAAAGAATGCAATCAAAGAAACCAAACTGTGGGAAACTTCATAAGATAAAGGATCCAGTTTCTTTGACCACAACAACATGTTAAGATAAAAGGTGTAGGGAGTGAGTTGTAGATTAAGAGATATAAAAGACAGATCAATCAACTGTAATGCTATCAGCTTGTTTGAACCTCGATTCAAATACACACATCACAGAGAAAGCTTTTATGAGCGCCTCAGCTTCTAACAATGAATACAAACTGAATTTTGAATATGAATTAGGCATTTGATGAAATCTAGAAAGTATTCATTTTATTAGATGTCTTTGTGATATTGTGATGATGTTTTTCTTGTTTGTTTCCTTTTTAAACCATATTATGACTGTTTTTTTAAAAAAAGATTTACTTATTTATTCATACAGAATTGGGGTACAAACCAAAGGGGCAGGGGCGGTGAGAGGCTTCACCAGAGACAGAGTGGGGAGCAGAACAGGCAGATCGCTGAAGTACACTGCTGAGGGGAGCAGTGGGCAGGCCAGGAGAAGTCTGCTGTGCCATCTGGTCACCTCTGGGGTTGGGGATCGAACCTGCACTGAAGTGGCTGCAACCAGCTTGCAGTGCTGCGTCCTAACCTGTTGTGCCACCAGGGAGGGGCTCTTGTTTGTTTTTTAAAGAGCCTTTATCTCTTACAAGCACATTCCTAAACACTGATGGAAGAAGTGGGGTATCTGGGAAACAGGAGTGGGGGTGTAGATGATACATAGTAGGTCCCCCAAGTGGACAGCTGTTGGAGCTGGGTGATCAGTGTGTAGGTTCTTTATAGTCCTCATTAGTTAGTGTTCATTCTACTTTAGTGTGTGTGATATTGTGATTTACAAGAAATATATCTTTTGGTTATTCGGGTGACCAAAATATATTTCTCATAGATATTTTATCTTCATCCACGTTTTTGATCACAACTTCAAAAAGCCTTGGAACTTCCTAAGTGTTGAGAGTTTTAAAGGTGTCCCATTATGGCAATGAAGGCCATTTTTTGGGAAAACTACTGAGGATAGTGGGCAGAGCAATGAGAGATTGAACTCAATTGTCAATGGCCAGTGATCTCACCAGCCATGATTATGTAACGAATCCTCCCTAGAAGCCCAAGAAAGAAAGGTTGAGAGTTTCTGGATTGGTGAGTAGAGGAGCGTGGCATGCCAGGAGAAAGCATGAAAGCTCTGTACCTTTCCTCACACCTTACCCTGCACATGTCCTCCTGAGTTACTTCATTTGTAAGAAATCAGTGGTCTAGTGAGCAAAGAAAGGAGTGCCCTGAGTTTTGTGAGCTGTTTTAGCAAAGTAATTGAATCTGGAGAGGGGGCACTGAAGATCTCTCCAGTTGGTCAGAATTACAGCCTGAACTTGTGGCTGGTGTCTGAAGTAGCGGGGTGGACTTGGTCTTGTGGGTAGTGTCAGAACTTAGCTGAATTCTTGGGCACCTTACTGGGCATCTGAGAATTGCTTGTTGGTGTGGGGAAACCTACAGATACTCTAAATAGTGTGAAATTCTCCATATTTAAACAAAATAAATGCTAGTATTCCAATGCCAAGAATCTGGAGACCCTTAATCTCCCAGGAGCAGCAGAGAGGCAGATGTGAAGAGGCCTCTGAGGAAGATAACTTACCTTTCAGATAAGACAAATTTTCCGTCTTTCATGCTGGGCAGCTTTCTCAAGGGATTGATCTCGGTGTATTCCTTGCTGTGGTGGTGACCTGAGTGGGGCAGGGAAAGTGTGATACTGATGGAACCCCAGAAAAGAGAGAACCAGGTCCCCCAGAGACAGAAATGTCTTTCTCTCCCTTTTCTCAAGGGAAAACGGAGGCCCAGAGGAACACTATAGCTCACCTCAGAGGGCATGTCAGTGGCAGAACAGAGACCCAGATCAGGATTCCTGCTCTCACCCCAGGTTCAGTTACCAGAACAATCCTTTGGTTCACAGAAGATGGCTCCCCAGCCTCCACATTTCAATTCAGCATGTGATTCACAAGTCACGGTCTACAGAATCCTGGGGACCTTCCTCCCATTGCCTCACTTGGTCTCCCCCTCTAGGGCAATCAGGGTTGCTGACCACCTCAGGCACAGCAGCACACAGTCGAAATCCCAAAGGGCCCTCTCATATACAATCATTTGGGATGGCCTCAACAGGAAACTCAATGTAAGGGACAGGAGTTTTGACTTTTCCTTGTCTAGCTGAAAACATTTCCAGGGACTTTATTCAATCCCGTTGATTTCCAGATCTCCTGCATCTCCTACTCTATGTTCTAGAGTCTTCTGACCCTGCGAGAAGAGCTTTTAGAGTCTCCTTTATGCTTGGGACGATGGAGAAGGATGCCCTGGACCTCACCCTGGGTCTGTCAGTCAGGGGAGGTCTGAGCATGGGGGAGGATGGCTGTGGACCGAAGCAGCATCTCCACTCTCTGATGTGAAATGGCCTCTTTTTTCTGTGCTCTATCCCAGTCTAATCAGTAGGTGTTGCAGTTATCAAGATGCTAAACAGGGCCTCCCTGGTAGTGCAAGGGGTTAAAGCACAGAACTCTGAAGCTACTCTCAGCTACTACAACATGAGTTCAATCCCAAGCCAGGGAGCTGACCCTCATGGCATGGCAGAACTCGCCTGTCTGGCCCGCTGCTCCCCTCAGCAGTGTATTTCAGTCAATCTGCCTGTTCTGCTCCCGAATCTGTCTCTGGATCTTGTCATTCCCCCCACCCCCACACTCCAGTTCTTGTGTGCAAAAATAAATAAATCTTTAAAAATTTTAAAAATCCAAGTTGCTAGACCCTTTCACAGCTCTTCCTTCCCCTTTACCCTCTAAGAGCTGTTCATCAAGGGAGGGCAGAATTAGTGGGAACTGGTGCAGGTGGGGTGGACAGGCCCAAAGCCTGATCCACTTGGAAACTTTTTCTTTCCCTGTGGACCTTGGAAGCAGGGTCTTCTTAGTCCCTGTCCACTTCTCAGGAGTGCCCTGCCTCCCCCCGGACCTGGCCAGCCAGGGCAGCAGTGGGTGTCAACCTTTCAGCAGATCCACAAAGTGGAAGTCAAAGGGGATGCTGTTCTTCCTGGCAAATATATAAACGGCACGGCAGGACGCAGACAGCAGGTCCATGTAGAGTTCCAGAACCATGGTGATCGTTACCAGGCCTCCTAGCCTCAGCCAGTAGGCCACAAATCTGAGCCTTTCTCCAGCCTGATCCCTTGGCCGTCCGTCTCCAGCCCTCTGCTAGCCAGGCCTACGGCCCCACATTCTAGAACTTCTTTCACATGATGCTGTCATGAAGTCAAGGAAGCCTGGAATTTTCACTGCAGAAAGGGTGTCCTCAGAAGGACACCCAGGAATAGACTGGGGAGAGGATCTTGACTGGGGTGGGGTGGAGATGTGGCTGCCATCCTGTTCTACCCTTCCCTGGAGGTTCTAGGCTATGTCTGAGAAGTGTATCTGCATAGGAAATCCTGGGCCTTCAAGGCAGAACAGGACCAGAGAGGCTCTGAAAGTTCTAGAATAAAGAAAAGGTGATGAGAACTAACCTTGGAGTGTTCCAGAAGCAGGGATTGGGAGTGCCCACATGTTGCTTTGGCCGGAACCATAGTTTGAAAAGGACTGAGGAAAAAGAAAACAGGAAGGAGCCTAGAATTTGTCAGAATATTGGGACAGCACCATCGGGAATCAAGGGTTGGCCGGCCTTGATTTCTTGAGAAACCCAGAAAGTTCTGGCCTGAGTGGGAACTTGCTGTGGTTAGGCTATGCACCTAGAAGCCAGACCCTGGGAGGAGAAGATGATAACTAGATCCCTTAGTTAGGGGAGACCTGAGTGTTCCTCACTGTGTTATATATGATCTCAGGAGATCCCCTGTTTTTTCAGACTTCTGCCCAGATTGCTACAGGGTAGCCCAGAGTGGACTTAGATTGAATGTCTGTGGGGCTTCACCTGAGGCTCCTGCACGCTCAAATGTAATTTTCTACAGACACACTCAAAAAAGATATTGGGTTTATTTAAAAAAAAAAAAAAAAAAGGAGGTGGGGAAGGAAGGAAAAGGAAACAACCCAGGGAAAGAGAGAGGGATACAAAGTAGCTGGAATATCTTACCAGCTCATCTAACTTGGTTAAGTCCCAAACTAACGCTGCTAGCCCCAATCACACCGTTCAGAGAGCAGTTGCTCCAGAGAGAGAGAACCGTTACCTCTCCAGAGTCAGTTGGAAAACTGCTCTCTATTTATCCCCCCAAAATCCCAGAATGCCTGCTTAGCTCCGCCCTTAGGTCCTCACGGTTCTCTCCTTGGTACTGCTGGGAGTTGTAGTTTTCCAATTGCTGGAGTAAGGGGTGGAATCCAGAAAGCTGGAGGAAGGGTCCACCAAACTCTGCGGAGTTCTTTTAGGACACCCTTACCCTTAACAAGATAAGGGGCGGTTCCTTACTGGGACAGAGAGAGACTGGAGACAAGTGGAAGGTACACAGCATATTTATTGAGAACAACAGAAAACCAGGGAGCAGGTCATACCCCTCTCAGCGGAGCCGCTCCTCCAGTCTCTTCACCAGCTGCTGGGCCACTTGGGGGTCCCTTGGGGCATCCCGGGGGTCATGAGGCTGTAGCACACACTTGTGGGCCTCCTGGACAAGCTCAGGGCCCAAGACAGCCTCCACACGGGCCCGCCACTCTGCCAGCCGGGGCCAGTCTCGGAAGAGATCACAGCCAACTGCAGTGGGCTGGGGAGACAGGCAGCTGGCATGTGAATCGACCTGGGGCCCAGAGCAACCCTGTAACCCCCCCAACTACCCCCCTCAACCCAGACCCTGCAAACAGAGGGTGAGCAGACAGGAGAACCTCACCTGCATCAGTTCCACAAGCGTGATCAGATCTGCCAGGGAGATCTTCTCCGTTGCCAGGAAGGGCTTGGCCACCAGGACCACCCTATCCAGGTGCTGCAGAGAGGGCGTCAGCCTCCCCATCAGCCGCTCCAGCTTGGCAGCATCCACAGGCTGCCCGGAGAAGTAGGGCAAGAGAGACTGGGCCAGAAGGAGCGGGAGCAGCTGAGCCTACATTCCTCTAAGCCTCCAAAGCCCTCTAGTGACCCCCACCCCCCACCCCCCCTGGCTAGGTGTTCAGCAGGGCTCAGGATTCTGTCAAGCTCAGGGGAAAGAGTGCTGTGTTGGAACAGCGGGGCAGTGGAGGGGAGGCCGTCTATGGGTTAACCTGTGGTCCCTTTCAGCTCTGGGGGTCTTGGCTCCTGCCCAACCCTGCAATCCAGGGAGATTCACCTTGCACAAGAAGACATTGGCGGCAGGCTGCTGGATAGCCGTGTGCTGCCAGGCCAGGTATTCATCAACACGGGCGCAGGCCTGGGGTCAGCTGGGTACCAGTGTGCTACTGTCTGAAACTTGCGACTCAGGTAGAGAAGGATGGCCACACTGTGGGCCAGAGAAGTCAGAGGTCTCTTCCCCTCCCTCCAGGCTGGGCCGCTTCATCTCTCAATCGCATGATGATTTGACTGGCCTTGTCTGCAGCACACCTGTGCAGGGGAGCAGGGGAGCCTCTCTACTCCTGAACCCCCTCACAAACAGCATCCTTTCTCCACTAAACTACTCCATTCCTACCTTTCTAAATTCTGTTCCTCCCAGACCCACTTTCCAGCCACTGCCCCAGCCTGCTCTTCCCCTCCAGGTGCATTCTCTGCATCTGGGCCCCTATTCAGCATAAGGGAGGCAGACTTGCCAGGGGCACTCTGGCCCCTTCATCCCTAGTGACCAGGAGCTGAACTGGGGCTCTGAGAATCTTTTCTTTTCTCCTTGGGCTCATGTTGCCCAATTTCTACCCTTCCTCAAACAGCCACTGGGGGGTAGGGGGGAGGGGGGATCACAGTCACAGTATCACTCCCACCTTACAAAAGAGAAACCTGGGGTTCCAAGTTCTGTGATCTGCCCCTGGCCACAGAGTGAGGAATTTGGATTCGGGAGCCCAGCGTGATGGGGCTGCCCCACTTCTGTGACTCTGAAAGGGCAAGTCAGATCGTCTAGGGAGTGTAAGCCTGAATCATGCTGGCCTGGCTGGGTGTTCTTGGCCAGGCCCATGCTGGCGTTCCCTGTTAGCCCCTTGCGGCCAAGAGAGGTAGGCTGAAATGAGGAAGGGGAAAGACCCCCCACTCTGGGCTCTCATTCCTCTGCCTGCCTCCTCCTGCCTCCCTGCTCACCCCCCTCCACCCCAGCAGATTCCTGCTTCCTGGCTGGGAGCCTGAGTCAGCCTGTAGGGTCCATCCATTACCTCTCAGCCAGCAGGAAGTCCCCATCCCTGAGAGCAGGCACCTTCCCCAGGGGGTTCACCTTCAGGAACTCAGGCTTCAGGCGCTCTCCTGGGGAGCAGAGAGAGGAGGCCCAGTGCAGGGTCTGGCCTTTGGGCACCCTCTCTGGAGACCTGGCTTACCTAGTGTCAGCGCCACAGGCCGCAGCTCAAAGGGGATGCCGTTCTTCTTGGCAAAAATGTACACGGCACGGCAAGGGGGTGAGAACAGGTCTAAAAACAGCTCTACTGCCATCACTGTCGCCACCCACCCAGCTACCTTCACCTGCCCGCCACTCAGGCCTGACAAAGGTTGCTCGGGCCCTCTAAAACCACCTGAGCTGCGCGCCCCTCCCTGAAGCCTGCTTCCCTGTGACTGGCGAGGCACCTTGCCAAGCCACCAGTGTGGCCTCTGTTGCGTGGAGCAGGGGAGCAGGAGGTGGCTGTGGCCCTCTAGGGGTTGGTCACTAGTTTTCCAAAAACAGTGGCCGGAGCCTGACCTTTCTTCATAGTGTTGCAAGCCAGCGGCCACGCCCACCTCCCCACCCTTCCCTTGAACAGGCCATTCCCTACCCCCCTCTCTGCTTCCTGGAGGCCACTCGGGCTTTCACAATCCTTCACATTGGGATAACAAGCAGGCTGGGAGGTCAGCTGGCAGGCACACACTTCTGTTTTGTTTTGTTTTGTTTTTTAAGATTTATTTATTTATTCATATAGAACTGGGTACAGGCCAGTGATGCGGAGGGTGAGAGGATTCACCAGAGACAGAGTGGGGAGCAGAACAGGCAGATCGAGGAGGTACACTGCTGAGGGGAGCAGCGGGCAGGTCAGGAGAGGTCTGCCTCGCCATGTGCTCACCTCTGGCACTCATGCTGAAGTGGCTTCAGCTTCTTAGTGCTGTGCTTTAACCCGCTGCGCCACCAGGGAGGGCCACACACTTGTTGTTTTTAAGGCTTTCTGTGTGTGCCCCTGCGTCTGTTGCCCCTCTCCCCCCACTCACTGTAACTCTAGCCAATGGGTCCATCCCCTTGGTGGGAGTCTTGGCCAAATAAGACTCTGCCTAGACAGAGTGTACAAAAGGCAAGTGTTTATTTCCGTGTGACTAGAGGAGTAAGTGAAACGAATGTTTCTAGAGAAACTGTCTCCTGGGGGACAGTGAAGTGAAGTGATACAATATTATTTAGTGTGTGGGGGGTTCAGAGGAGTCTTAGTTTCCCTTGCCCGACTCTTCTGGTCCTTATCTTTTGCTGCCTGTCTGTGGGTAACACAGGAGTTTGTCATGCCTGCGATTGCTATCTCATCTAGGTTTTCTTTATGGTCAAGAAGTTTGTGTACAAGGTGACAATGTCCATTGTCCTATACCGCGAAAGAAAATTCCTTTATCATGTGCTCACGTCACCATTCCTGGCCCAAGCCGCTCCTCTCTCCGGCCCCAGTACAGAAACCATCCTGATCTCTCTCTACTGCCCTCCTCTCTCTTCTGCTGCCTCTATGCCCCCACCTCAGGTGCAGAACCCACCCTGCTAGGACTCATGCCAGCACCCTGGGAGTCTCCCCTCCTTTTCACCATCATGCCCCATCACTAAGCGCTGTTGTTCCCCCTCCTGAACCTCTTACCTGCCCACCAAACAACCCAGCCAAACTCACCAGCTTCCAGACCCACTGCCCTGCCTCCCCACTGGCTCTCTGTCCTGGTGGACACAGCGCCACAGGGGATTTCTGGAGTCCAAGCCTCAGGCCATGTTCCCCTGCGCAATGCCCTCCCTTACGGAATGCTGGTCGCACTCCCTGGCCTTGTCCATTTGCCTCTTGCTGCATGGGTTTCCTTCTTGACCTTCTCTATAGCTATCTCTTCCATCCAGATGCAGGTCTTGGGATACCAAGAACTGGGTTGTGGGCAGGTCTTTGGACACAGGTAGGACCAAGGGTGGGCATGGACCCAGGCCTGGCAAAAATCCATACTGGCCGGTACCGGCTGGGTCAGTTGTGGACTAGGAAACGAGTTAGAGCAGCCGGGGCTTCCCTCCTGGGCACTCAGTCACAGCCTCCCAGGAGGCGGCCCTGGCCCTGCACTGAGGTCCAGTTGTTAAGGGGAAGGATGTCCGAAAGGAATTCTGCAGAGTCTTGTGGACCCCAACTTCTACTCCAGCTTTCTGGACTCTACCCCCTACTCCAGTGAGTTGAAACTACAACTCCCAGCAGTACCAGGGAGAGAACTGCGAGGATCCAACGGCAGAGCTAGCAGGAATTCTGGGACATTGGGAGATAAACAGGGCGCGATTGCATCTCGCTGGCTCTCTTTTGCTTGGGAAACAGCTAGCCTGACAGGGCGACTCGGTGTTTTCAGTCAGCCAAGTGGGTAAGGTACTACTTTATATCCTGCTCTCTTTCCCTGGGTTGTTTCCTATTCCTTTCCCCTTTTGTGAGGCGAATGTGATAACCACTACACTACGGAAACGCCACCCTTTCCCCTTTTGTAAATAAACCCGTTATTGACTCTTTTGTGTGTACCTGCAGTATAACTGGATTGTGAGCGTGCAGATGAGGCCCCACAGAAAGGCGGCCCAGTCCACTCTGGGCTACCCTGTAACACTAGGAACTCAGGGCCACTCTCTGGTCTCAGCTTCTAGAATCATGCAAAGGGACTTAAATGTCTCCCACTCTTTACATGGCAACTGAAATCTGCTAGTGGATGGGACTTTGGGGGACATACTCCCCCATGAACACATGCATATACTTGGAGGCCATGCAGCTTGTGCAGGCCTGACCCACCCTTGGTTCAGAGACGGCCCACGGTCTGCTCTGACTAGTGAATTCCCTGAACCCTTGGCCATTCTGAATGGATCAGACTGGACCTCTGGATGGTGGCAGGCACTCCTAGAAAGGAGGGCTGGGGAAGAGACACAAAGTTGGCCCTTGGCGAGGTCATCAGCCTTTCCAGTGTGAGACCCTAGGAGCCAGCGGGTTGCAGCGAAAGTACAGCTACCTCAGATTCTTCTCCAGTGGAAAGAAAGGGCCAGGAGCAGGCAGCCCCAAAAAACTGGGCTATCCAAAGGTATCCATCCTGCTGCTGTCAGGGGATAGAGCCAGGCAGATCTAGTAGGACCAGCTGCCACCCAACATGGCTATGGATGAGAAGCTGGACCCAGGCCTCCCACAGCATGCCAGCAACCACAGATGTCCCTACCAAAACACAGCCCCAGGCTGCAGGGCCACAGATGGGCCAATGCTGAGGCTTTGATTCAGGGACACCCAGGGCAAAGCAGCAGCCATGGCAGCTGAGGGCCTCCAAGCAGGGTCAGTGAAGAGGGGCTGTTCCAAGTCTCCACCTGCAACAGTATCAAGTATCAGCTCCTTTGACATAAGGTCAACCAGTGTCACCTGTGAGCTGGAGAGGAAAACCCTGTCCACGTTCTCATCCAGCTTCTCCTTGAGCACCTGTATGTAGATGAGCAGGACTAAAATCTGCTCTCTCTGGTGGTGCAACAGGTTAAAGCACAGCACTATGAAGCTATCTGCAGCCACTGCAGCACAAGTTCAATCCCCAGCCAGGGGGGATCTCTCCCAGCTGCAAACCTCTCCTGTCTTGCCTGCTGCTCCCCTCAGCAGTATATTTCAGTAGATCTGTCTTTTCTGCTCCCCACTCTGTCTCTGGTGAATCTTTCATTCCCCACACCTCTGGCCTGTATCCCAGTTCTAGTATGCATAAAAAAATAAATCTTAAAAAACAGCGTGTTGGAGGTGAGAAAATAATGATAATGATGAACAGCTCTGTACCAGAGACATTTTATGGGGGTGGAGTGGGGAATGGGGTCAAAAACAGTGGAGGGAGGGAAATGCACTGGACTATGGTGATGGCACATGGGTGATTTGATGATGGGAAACCCAAGGGGATTGCAACTGAGATGGAAAAATGCACAAAAATATGTAAAAATAAACTATTATTAAAAAAAAAAACTGTTGGGTGGGCAGGGCTGGACTCAATCTGCACCTTGCCCAGGTTCCCATCCCAGCACCTTCGCCCTGCCACACCCCCTCATACTTTCTCCAATGTTACTTTTCCTGTCTCACTCAAGGTGCCCTGGACTCAGTCACATTCCAGCTCAGACACTCATTTGCCTGAAGGTGGAACAGCACTGGGGGCCACCGCGTGGTACTTGTGGCTTGTAGTGGGCAGGGCAGAGGCAGTGACCTGGAGGACATGGGCAGCCAGCCATCCTATTTCTCTCTGAAGTCTGCAGAAGAGGTCTTAGCTTGGGCTAGACTCCACCTCATCCTCTCCTCACCCAGCTTCTCTACCCCATCAACCGTCCAGCAGTCAGTTCACGTCCCTCTTGCAGGTCACAGACCCGGGCAGCTCTCTATCACCTGCTTACTAGCCCACTCATCAGCACAGCTCATTCTCATCTTGCTGCTTTTCTAGGTCACCTATGTCTCTGCCTCCCAGCATCCCCTCTCCTATAGCTATGGAGGTTTCCCAAACGCATGGATTTTCATACTTCCAGCATTAACTCAGACCCTCCCCTCTGCCAAGAGCACCAGTCTGGGATTCAAGGTAACTTCCATGATGTCTTTCCACCCTTCCCCTGTTAGGTGACATAGGGATCCATTGACCCCCCTCTTTTTGCGGTGCAGAGCATGGCTCTTCAGCTGTGGTCACCCTCTTCAGACTCACCTGGCACCTCCACTGCACTCACTTACTTCTTCAACTTCACTGGAATGACTGTTTAAAGCAAAACCATCCAATTGTGAGAAACAAAACCCAGCTGGTGTGGATTAAGAAAAGCATGGGCTGTGCCTGCCCATCCCTAGGGAAGAGACCAAGATGAGGAACTTCTGCAAGGGAAGTTGCTAAGCCAGGACCTAAAAGAAAAGACACCCATGGGGGCCCTCAGGGCAGGACTACTGCTGCTATGGGCGTTGCTCTGGATGCTCAAGGTTGGGAGCAGCTGGAGGGCGCCGGCTGCAGGAGAGGACACCACGCAGGGCACTGAGGACCGCTTTTATTCGTCGGTGCTGACACCTACTGTTGAGTCCCAGAACTGCAGCCATGAGAGCCATCTGGCTGCCTGTGGCTGAGTCGTTTGACAGACTGTGCTGCCACCAACCATAGGAGAAAGAAATCACTCAGTTGCAGATAGAAATGTTGGTAACTGGCATTGTGAGATACTGGAAAGCTGATATACTTTGACCTGTGCTGTTTCTGTTGCATTTATGCATTATTTTTTTGTATTCAGCTGCACAGTTGGTTGTAAG